TCTCGCTCTTTCTTTCGCTCTCTCCCTATCCCTTGCTATCTCTTTCTCACTACCTCGCTCTCTCGTCTTTCGCTTTCTTTTCATCTTTCATTCACTCTCTCTCTCTCACTATCTTGCTCTTTCTCGTTTTTCCAATCCCTCTCTCTCCCCCCTCTCTCTCTCTCTAGAATATATGTACGGTGTAAGAATGAAGAAATTCTTACCCCTGTAACTACTACCGGAGCGGCGTGAGAAATCCTCGAAATAAGCAGAGTTTATGGCAAAGGAAGTAGTACTAAGCTCGTTGTGTTCGATGTCCCGAGGGAAATTGACACCGATAAAGGGGCGGTCACACGATCGTTTTTACACCGATAAATCAACGGAAACTTTAACTTTTCCACTACCCGCAACTTCCAAGTCGACAATACCTCTGATGTAGAAGCGAACTATATGCATCGTTCAATCGAGGAAGTGGGTTGTCAAGAAAGAGTCTATTGTCTAAGAAAAAATACTCAACTGCGTACCTAAAAACAATTATTTATATTTAAATCAATATAATTTTATCAACATATTTTTTAATTTATACATTCATATTTTCAAAGTGTGCTTATTAATTATCCACGGAAATTCATTTGAGCTACCGTGACGTCATCATTGTTTACAAGCGCGCGTCTTCCAAGTTCCTCAAAGAAGCGTCTGTATGGTATATACGTCTGTATGGTATAAACTGCTATTTCTTCTCTGCAACCACGAACGAACCCACATACCCGTTTACGTAACCTTTCAGCCTCCAGTGTAAAATACTTAAGAGGAGGGTCGCGCGGGAAATCCTCGTGGACGCCATGTTTGTCGCTGATATCGCGCTCCTACGCGATGTTTTTTTTCGCTCCGTGTGAACAGGAAGTTGGGAAACCGCAAACAAATCGTTCCGGCTACAGGATCATATCACAAACTGGTTGTTGAAAAAAGCGCTCGTGTGACCGCCCCTTAAGATACACGGAATACAGTGAAAAGACTCTAAACGTTAAACGTATTAAATTTAATGATAAGATGACACAGACTCATCATCACACATGGAGAGAAAATCCCCAAAACCACCAAAATTGTTGAGGGCATGGAACCTTTAGGTGTGCTGTCTTGAAATCACTCACCCCATTTTGCGCCAACTGTTGTAGATGGGGGCTCAGGGCACGCGCTTTTCCCCGCGAACCGCCATGTTGCCGGTACTGTGCGGCCGATCGCAAGAGTGCGCCGAAAAAATCGCACAGGGTAATCAAACTCCCAAGGAAATGTGTCAAATGCAGACTTGAATATAATGCAAACGACAGAAAAAACAAATTTCTAAAGAAGCAGCAAGCTGTTCTGCCCTCTCGAAAACCTAACCCATTTCCTCTGCTTAACAATGAGGCAGAATTACCCCAGCTTAGGATCGATCTCTCCAGCCATACTACCGGCATCAACTCCTGCTCCAGCGCCAGCTTCAAGGCCTGCTTCGGCCCCTTCAGTGCCAGTTTCAGTTCCTGCTACTTTGGCATCGACTTAACCTGTTTCATCATCGTCATCGCTTTCGACATCTATCAGCACATACAACAGTTCCGGCCTCTGCACCTGCTTCAGTGCCAGCGCCGACCCTTACACCACAGGAAAGACAGGACCTACTGCAAATGTTGATGCAGAAGATAGAACAAATGATGCTCATGATGCAACAACAAATTGCTCAGTAACTACAATTCCAGAAAAAAAAAGTTTTCAGTGGTCTTTGGACAACGGTTTACCCCTATATAATCTGTGGCAAAACTTGAAAATCATTAGCTGACAACTTAATGCCAACGTTGACTTTGAGTGTACCAAAATGGAACATTAAGATTTATGGAAACACTGTTCATTTTTGTAAAATCATTTATGGGTTGTTTTTTATAGTTATTACATAACCAATAAGGTGAGCACTAAGGTGCAGCCCTTCAGGCAAGTATATTTAATGTTTGACTGTGGCAAAAGTCAAACATTAAGTCAATACAAGTTTATCCAGATTGAGTAGATGCTTGGACATCTTCCCCCGGCTTTTTACAGGGCATATAAACTCCTTTGTATTTTTTTCAAATCAAATCAGTCTCTCTCCGCCAGGCGTACACAATCTACTTAAAACTTGTGGTGAAGGAATACATCACCCCCCTACCCCAACCTCAGCCTGGCTTCCGTTTTGATGCGACGCCTTCTACGACACGACCCTCTGGTTCGACACGCGCTTTAGCTGCCACGTCTTCTGTTGCCTCTACTTCAGGCATTATACCGGGGTTTCTTGCGAACCCTGGACCGGCTCCGACCCTGCCCTGTTTCCACCTCAGCTCCTAAAACTTTATCAGAGAATTAAATCGACGCCAGCGACACCCCAACTATGCCAACAGTACGAACAAAGCCTGCGGTGATCGACAATAAAAGAAGGCTGAATTATGTCATCCACAAGTTGAAGGCAAGTAACAATTCTAATAAATTATTAATAAAAATACATTACCACCAGTCCATGCGTTCATTTGATCTCTGCACGGTGCGCTTCGTCCTGGCCCAAAACACTCAGGGTGAACGGTTTCGCCGCGCAATGCACCTAACAGCTGATTATCGTCAACTAACTGCCCTTGAGACTTGCCGAGAAAGTGAGGAATTATTTTCCTGATTGAGAGTGTAAGAACTTGAAACTGATTTAGACGATTTCTGTTTCACACACACCAACTAAGATACAAAGGTAAAATGAAATATATTTTGCAGTTGGCGGACATTTTGGCATTTTGGTTGTTTACCTTGAGGCGTACCACGAACGTTTAGGTCGACCGTTCACTTGATTTTGCCTTGCCCATGTGAACGTAAAGAGTAACAGAATTTCATTCGTTACTGGTTATTTGTGAAGACACGTTGCCCCTGCACTTATTGAACACCGATCTGCAGCGAGAACAGAAACAAACCAGAAGGAAATATTGGAAACTTTAGAAAGTCATGGAAGGTAATAAATCCATTATAAAGAAAGATAAACAAAGGGAAATTATTAGTTATATCAATTTCATATTATAAAACCTCTGACACTGTAAACGGCTCTAATACATACTCCTCTAAAGTAAGAAAAAATCAGTCACAAATACGTGCCAAAATCAATAATTTGCGTAATTCTCTCTTAATTAGACTCAGGATTAATCATAATTGTGAATAAGTAAGGAAATGGTGTAACAGGTCCTATTGAATTTCAAATCGTGTTTATAAAATAGTACTTAATAGTACTTTTACTTTTCATATGTGCATATTCCCAGATATACTCTAGCTAACACAAACAATCCCATATATCAACAGTTGTCCATTTCCATTAAAGGGCTTGAAAACGTAGAGTTTAACTGACTTGGTAAATAGTACTTTAATCAGGAAATACTAACAAATTCACGACATGGCCCCCGTAAAGGGAGATCAACTGACACTGCAGCGCTAGCATTCACAGATCACATACTGAACAATGACAAAGACTACCATGGGATTTTTTTTCTTAGGGAAGTTTTTAATAACGTGAATCATAACCAGTAATTGGTAAAGGAAGATCACATGAATGGTTTGCGTAGATCGCAATTTGATGGTGCATTGCCACACTGTGGGATGGGAAGTAGGAAGTCTTACTGCCACCTATTTCCCAAAAAGGAGTCCTACGGTATATGTCTAAGCTCAAAGGAATCGATCATACGAATAATGCATTCAAACAAAAGATTTGGAAATACTATGACGTGTCAATACGTCTTTATATGCATATACCAAATCCTTATATAGATATACCACTGACGATCAAAAATTTACAAAGGACTTTGCTTAAACCATAGCCTGAGGAATTAATATCTTTTTCGTCTGCGTCGGGCTCGATGTTCGCATTCTATTGCGATATCGTACAGACGCAAGTATATGGAACGGACTACCCCTTCGATCCCTGTCTTTAAAAGCTTACTAAAACTACCTTTGTTAGCATAATACAACCCTCTCGATTTCTTACTAGAACCAAGGGAATTGTATGACGCTAATTTCATGAATCGCTGTCATTTTATTAATTACTCAACTATGTGGCTTTATTTCTGATTTACTTCAGTTAATATATTATTGAGACTGAATTCATATGCATATTTTAAAACTTTCTTTTTTCGCAAAATTATTTAACTAAGGTTTGTTGGCCACCATTGTGAAAATATGACTCAAGTAAAAACTAAAGTAAAATGTTGAAATTAATTATAATAGAAATATATAAATTATATTTGAATTACATTAGATTCTGTAAAACTGAATATGTTATCAGTTTCATGTTTTGTTAGTGACTTTTAGGAAAGTAAACTGTTTTTTTTTTGTTTTTTTTTGGGGGGGGGGCTCAACTAAATCCACTATAATTACTTTTTCGTATAAACTATCCAACTCAAAGTTTGGCTAAATAAACATTTGAATTCTAGATCCCCCCCCCCTCTCTCTCTCTCTCTCTCTCTCTCTCTCTCTCTCTCTCTCTCTCTCTCTCTCTCTCTCTCTCTCTCTCTCTCTCTCCTCTCTCTCTCTTTCTCTCTCTCTCTCTCTCTCTCTATCTATCTATCTCTTTGTGTGTGTGTGTGTGTCACTGAGTGAGTGATATGGATAAATAACAACTCGCCCTGAGCAGGACACGAATTTGGGCCACTCCAGGTATGACCCGGAGGACTGGTACTACACCAACCATATCAGACCCAACAAAAGGAGCGTGCAACTAGAATCTCACTAGCTCCATACACATTAACTAGTTACTCATACTAGAGTAATGATAGCGAACATTTACACATACTCCCTAGCCACGGTGGAAATTGATTTAGCAATTCAAATCCTGTCAGATGTGTGTATGTATACATATGTATATATATACATATATATATATATATATATACATATACATTATATATATACATATACATATACATATATATATACATATACATATATATATATATATATATATATATATATATATATATATATATATATATATATATATATATATATATATATATATACATACATACATACACTGGGAAATATGGTGGAATGGTTAGAGCATCGGATTCAATCTTGCCACGACAATCTAAGTTCGAGGGTTCGAGTCTCAGCTGGCACTTCGCCTCGATTGCTACAGGACTTCCTGTAGCAATCGAGGATTGCCACATGGGGATCACGTCCCCTTATCCAAGGATCTTGCCCCTACCCACAGGGTAGAGGCAAGATCCTTGAATTGGGGGACGTGAAAAGAATACTTCCAACATACGTCACTGCGTATCATAAAAAGCGACTATAAGGACCCCTACCAACCAACCCTGGTCTAGCATGATAGGGTATGTCCCAACTCTCTCCCCATTATGACATATCTCAAGCAACATTAAAGCCATTTCTGTTGTCCACAAATTTAAAAACATTAGTACCGGAAGACTAGAGACAGAACGACGTGGGAAAAGTCTGGGAGAGGCCTATGTCCAACAATAGATTATAAAAAAAAAAAAGCACACTATATATATATATATATATATATATATATATATATATATATATATATATATATATATATATATATATATATATATATATATATATATATATATATATATATATATATATATATAACCTGTTTATGAGCGCCTTATTCCCATGTATGCAAATGTGAAGGAATCCACAAATGGCCCCTGCCGGGTTTCCTCCCTTTCCATCAGCCCCCCCACGTCCTTTTCCGGCGCCTTTATGGGTGATAAAAGCAGCGAGTCAGCGCCACACGTGGACAGGACTCGAGATTCCCTACGCAGCTCTCGGTGTCAGCGCTGACGTCATCATGTCAATTATCGGCCGGCTGACCGACGCGACGTATAGCTTCTGATAAGAAGCTCCATAAATATTTCCGACCTTCGTGTGTTCTTGTGGTATTATATATCAACCTTTGTTACTTGAAAGTCGATTTTAAAGCTGTGATGTACAGTTCATCTTTTTGCATTAATTTCAACATTGTGATTAATGAACGAATGACTTTACAAAGAAACATATGTAACTGACGTGTACTTGCAATTGAACATTGAACATTTACTCGAAACATGCCCATTCCATCACTTGCTTCATTCTAATTTTCCTGCATCACCACACATTTTTATTGATCTTAATACATATTGCATCCACTCATATACACGTACGTACACGTACATATAGATGCACTCGCTGTTGTTAATATCATAATACGCACACACTCACACACACACACACACACACACACACACACACACACACACACACACACACACATATATTATATATATATATATATATATATATATATATATATATATATATATATATGTATGTATGTATGCATGTATGTATGTATGTATGCAAGTATGTATGTATATATGAAAAATACGTATATATAATACATATACATGTGTGTATGTGTATATGTATATATATACATATATATATACATATATATACACACACACAGATATGATATATATATATATATATATATATATATATATATATATATATATACATATTATATTATATATATATATATATATATATATATATATGTATGTATGTATGTATGTATATATATATGTATACATTTACATTCATATATATATATATATTATATATATATATATATATGTGTGTGTGTGTGTGTGTGTGTGTGTGTGTGTGTGTGTGTGTGTGTGTGTGTGTGTGTGTGTGTGTGTGTGTACATTTACATTCATATATATATATATATATATATATATATATATATATATATATATATATATGCATATACATATACATATACATATACATATACATATACATAAATACATATATATAAACACATACATATACATATACATGTGTGCATTTAACTATATGTATATGTATATATATATATATGTATATGTATATGTATATGTATTGTATATATATATATATATATATATATATATATGTATATACACAACCACACATACACACACACACACACACACACACACACACACACACACACATATATATATATATATATATATATATATATATATATATATATATATATATATATATATATGTATGTATTTACATATATATGTGTATATATATACATATATATCTTACGTTGAATACCAAACAAAAAATCAATATATCGCTAAAAAAGAAAAGGTGTTTACAAATTAAACGGGACAGTCTCGTTTCGCAACGATCCTCTCTCTTTTCAGATGAATTGTTTTGCTTCCTGTCACGACCGATTCTCGTCCGTGCACTCGTGCTCTCACAACTACGCAATGATACAAGGAATCAATAGGTTACATCCGCTGGCATTAACATGATGCCGGCAGCCGGCCTTGAGCGACCCGTACTTGCCGGCTGATTGTCCCTCCCCCTTCTCCCTCCCGCACTTGCACGCCCTCATGGCCAGCCTCACGGGGCCCATGCCTCGCTTTTTCCTTTCCATTGCCCTTACACTACCTGTCGTTTTATCCTAAATCG